GGTCGAACATTAAGTGATTACAATATTCAAAAAGAAAGTACACTTCATCTCGTACTTCGATTACGTGGTGGTATGCAAATCTTCGTGAAAACACTCACCGGCAAAACTATTACACTTGAAGTCGAACCAAGTGACACCATCGAAAATGTCAAAGCAAAGATCCAAGACAAGGAAGGTATTCCACCTGATCAACAACGTCTTATTTTTGCCGGCAAACAACTGGAAGATGGTCGAACATTAAGTGATTACAATATTCAAAAAGAAAGTACACTTCATCTTGTACTTCGGTTACGTGGTGGTATGCAAATTTTTGTTAAAACTCTCACGGGCAAGACAATTACGCTTGAAGTCGAACCAAGTGACACAATCGAAAATGTTAAAGCAAAAATCCAAGATAAGGAAGGTATTCCACCTGATCAACAACGTCTTATCTTCGCCGGTAAACAACTTGAAGACGGTCGAACACTCAGTGATTACAACATTCAAAAAGAAAGTACTCTTCACTTAGTTCTTCGATTACGTGGTGGTATGCAAATCTTCGTGAAAACACTCACCGGCAAAACTATTACACTTGAAGTCGAACCAAGTGACACAATCGAAAATGTCAAAGCAAAGATCCAAGACAAGGAAGGTATTCCACCTGATCAACAACGTCTCATTTTTGCCGGCAAACAACTTGAAGATGGACGAACATTAAGTGATTACAATATTCAAAAAGAAAGTACACTTCATCTTGTACTTCGATTACGTGGTGGTATGCAAATCTTCGTGAAAACACTCACTGGCAAAACAATTACACTTGAAGTCGAACCAAGTGACACAATCGAAAATGTTAAAGCTAAGATCCAAGATAAAGAAGGTATTCCACCTGATCAACAACGACTCATTTTTGCCGGCAAGCAACTTGAAGATGGACGAACATTAAGTGATTACAACATCCAAAAAGAAAGTACACTTCATCTTGTACTTCGATTACGTGGTGGTGATCATGAATGAATAATCTGCATTACATTGGAGAAATGAACTCAATTAACTCTTGTTCTTTTTCTGTTATTCCCATTATTTCTGCTATTCATAATATTGTATACGTGCCTGATTTCTTTTATATATTTCTCATTAATAGTCATCACATGATTGATACAGTCTTATTGATAAGGAAGTAAATAAAACAACTATGAATTGATACTTATAAATTTAATTTGGTTTATAAATGAAAGAAACAAAGATTTTTTTGTTCTTGGAAGCATCCAGTATAAAAAATGTAGGAAAAGGTCATATCAATTATATGATATACTCTGGAAAATGTTACCCTTGAGAAGTGTCACAAATAAACACATCAATTCTTGTTAGGTATTTGTTATTTTGTAGTAATGAAAATAGGTCCAAACGCTGACAACTTGACCTTGCTATTACTAAAATTAGTGATGTGTTTTAGTATTGTCGGAAACACAAAAAAGAGCAAGTCGAAGTTTTATATATACGTATATTTTTTGTTATTGAAGATAATTTGTTTTCGTGCTATTAAAATGCAACTTTTGACTAAAACAAATGTGTTCGTTTCTTGTTAATTTAATCGTTTTATTTTTATTCTTTTATCCTCTTTGTTGTACGCCTTTTTGTGAAATAAGAAGATTTTTCAGAGATTCGCTGAACTTCTTATCAGATTCATTTTTTTTTATATTCTATCTTCTGATGTCATTATGAAACCAACAGAAAACATATGTGGCTTCCTCTATCAGATATATTTATCTATGTAGATTAGAGTAACATGTATGATTATCGTTCATGATAAACAGTCAACATATAGAGAAATTATAGCGTGATGAGGAGTGTTTATTACTTGTAGGTCTAAAACAATGATTGACTACATCTTATTTCTATTTATTTATTTATTTATCAAGGTCAGATTTCAAATGTGAGTTTCTACAGTTTTCTATTTTTCAGTCATCCGATATATAAAATGTGATGAAGCCATGAGATGTAAAATAGAACAAAACATACTTTGTGTTTGTGTCTTACTATAATTATGCATGAGGAAATTATTCTTTTAATGTTGTGAACTGCAAGAAATTTGGTAGTTATTAAGGCTGATGAATATTCAATTAATATATAAATTCTCTTTGTTCATATTACTATATTTATTCACTGAAAATATTCTATTGATAAGCGATAAATGTCGGTGATGAGTTCCTTATTGATTGATCATTTGGCATAGTTGTTTATGTCTTCTTTAATAATTTTTTACATCATCATTTATATCTGAACAGTTTCGAGCGTATTCTGACATCAGTGTTTATCCAGATGGTTAATTTTACGAGTTCATATTCAACATATAGTCATGAAAAAGTAAGTTTACATTAAAAGAAAATAATCAATCAGAAGATGACCAAATTCTAGAAAATGTTCGCTCGTATTTCATTAAAGATCTCAAATTGTTTTTGACAAATGCTATTTTGAATTTTAGCAAAATTAAAAAGTTATTAAAATGTTACAAGATGGAATCACATCCGTTTGTAAAGTATTTCAAATCTTTGTTTGTTAGTATTTAGCATAGATAAATGGCATTAAAAAACGTCATGAGTATTATATATAGGCAGGCATTAATATTCATGAAATATTACTTGATAATTTCATAAACTTCACGAACAACACATCAAATTCAAATAAGATCTTACTTCGGATGACGAAATCCAATGAGTTTGAGAACGTCTGAAATTTTCAGCGCCCTCTGAAGTGTATCATTTGCTATTGATACAATGAGTCACTTCTCTCTGCCATTACCAGTTACTCACATAACCATTTTTTTATTTTATTCCTTCGTTTCTTTTATTTGTCATTGGTAACTATGTGTCATTATTATTATAGCTGAAATCTTTCGTTCTCATCTCGAACATTCGAGCACTGAGTCATTCTCATATAACATAGAATATAAAAACAGCATTTTCTTCTCACATTATTCATTCATTTTTACTAAACATATAGTTATTTCTTCTTATTGTTTACTGCTATTAAACAAACATAATGCAAATCTTTGTAAAAACTCTTACTGGCAAAACTATTACACTTGAAGTTGAACCAAGTGATACTATCGAAAATGTTAAAGCAAAAATTCAAGACAAAGAAGGTATTCCACCTGATCAACAACGTCTTATCTTCGCCGGCAAACAACTTGAAGACGGTCGAACATTAAGTGATTACAATATTCAAAAAGAAAGTACACTTCATCTCGTACTTCGATTACGTGGTGGTATGCAAATCTTCGTGAAAACACTCACCGGCAAAACTATTACACTTGAAGTCGAACCAAGTNCCAGTAAATGCTCGTGATAATCTAGCACCTGATGGACAATTATTTGTTGAAATGTGTGAAAAAGATAAAGAATTTTGTTCTTCAGTTACGACAAGAACAACGGATAGAAATTTTAATTGTTTAGATGTATGGGTAGAAGATTTTGTTCATGAACATCGTCAATGGCAATTAGGAGGTTTTGTTGATAATGGTCGAAATATTAATTGTCCTTTCAATCGTTCATTATTGCATGAATTAAGAAAAAAATATGGAATTAAACGCAACAAATCGGATCGGTGATCAAAGAAATGTCAAACAAAACTTCGTGCATTACTTGAAATATAATAAATTTTTTCTTAGATCAGTTTTAGTAGAATAATTCAAATAAAATGTTAAGACCATACACACTTTAAATTGTTGATTGTATCATAGAAGTATAAAAAATCTCTGAAAAGTTTATTACTGTGGTCACATACTAACTACAATTAGTTCCATATACATTAGAGTGAAAATGTAGCATATTGAATGTGACAACCTTATGTCAAACGGCAGAAAAAAAATTACTATCGTAGAAGATATGAATTATTTATAATAAGTCCAAAACGATCATTGACATATTAGATGCATTAGAATCATGAATGTTTAAATAAAAAATTTAGTTCGAATATTTTGCAATGGTTTGAAATGTAAAATATAGTAGCATAAAATAAATTTAATTTATAGACAGTTCTTTTGTAAAAAAGAAATTATCAAAAGAATGCTTTGTAAACTTTCTAGTTGCGATCAGAATGGATATGAACCCATTAGACTTAATACTTTCATCATCATTATTTCTTTCATATTTCTAATGCAATTTTCTTTCACTTAAAATTTCATCATACACTTTGTTGAATATACTTGCATACATTATTAAAGCTTAGAATGAACTGATATGTGTGTCCATTTGTTTTCAAAGGTTTATCTGATTATATTGGGCAAGTATATTACATAAATTCAAAGAATAAGTCACATACAGCTATAAATAAAGTACATGAGTGCTTTTTTTTTAATTTCCATTTAAGATTGGATATGACTACTGGTATTAGAAGGAAAGTCATCATATAAATTATCTGACTTTAGAATATTTATTTTAGAATAATGCAACAGTGGCTAAATAGCATACGAATAAAACAATAATGATCGGTATATATGAACATTGATTAAGAAGTGTTGATTGAAGAAAAGTGTATATATCGAGAGAAGATACTTTCAATTATTTTGCGTCATTGACTACTTCTTATATAGTTTCTTTTTCATTTTTCATCTACATGACCACATGATTATTTATGCTATATATGCAAGTATAGTTACCATGTAATAGATGCATGCATATAATTCTATTTGTATGTGCGTCAAATCTTACTCTTATGATCTTATTACTATAGAAAATTATGATATGTTGAAATAGAGAATTACCATGTAATAATGAAGCAACGATGAAATAGAAGAGTGTGTAGGCATGCGTGTGTATGAGTCTCCTCTTCAAGTACACCCACATCTGTTCGATATTTTCAATAGATTTAAAATGGCCGACAGTGAGGATATGATGTAAACGTCTTACACAATGTTTCAAGATTTCATCCTTCATTGTATATTGAATTCATTCAATTTTGGACCAAATAAGTTGACTACTTGACACAACATGGCAGAAGATAACGACTATGTTCAATTTATAACAAGTTATAGTCTCAAAAAAGTTCACCTGTGAAAAGTAGCACGATGATGAAAAGGTTCTTTTTTTTTGTTTATATTCAACGTTATTAAATTAGGCATATTGCGACACAATTCACTGCGTATATTAATACATTGGTGAAGATGCCGAGAGCAGAAGTACTAAGTAGAATGAATCTTTTCAGTGAAAGACTGAGTAAAGCCACTTTGAACCTCTACCTGTTCAATTGTCAGCTCTATCAATAATCGATACCTCATATTTTCTATTTTCTAGTCTTTTATTGTGGCTTACATGCCAACAGATGTCATTTTTTTCAAAATGATTCAATCTATTCATAGTTTTGAATTTGATTGTTGGTCCTTCCTGATGAATTAACATAACGATAAATAAATCAAATATTTTCCTGTGACACTATCTTGTTCGACAGTGTCTACAAGAAAATTTCTACTTGCTCGGATAAGCACCTCTTCTTCATCCTGATAACAAGACAGTGATGATATGTCCATGCCGGAATATCGATATTTGGTCGATTTAGCAAGACTAATAATAAATAGAGTGTTCCCAAATGTTTCGGCTTTCTTTCGATTCTTGCTAGTCGATGAAAAAGCATCCCAAGTTTTAACGAGACCAATAGCTAATTTGTATGATTCAATAGTATCTTTATCGAGTTGAGCACCACGATAAAGTTTACCAGCATAGCCTAGATTGCTAAATGTGGACGAGCAATCACAATGAAAAAGTAGCCAACAGAATGCACCGAGATTGTGTAATTTCGATAAGTCGTTTTCGCGTAATGTTATATTCACTAGTCGATAAAGAAAACTCTCACGAGTATAGATCGATACGACACGCTTTTCAATTTCTTCGTTTGATTTATTCTTGAGTAATTGAAGCTCGTCTGCTATCCATTTAGCTTCAATTGGTTCCCCACGGTTAATACCTTCTTTGATAATACCATCTGCTGCTTGTTCTAACAATTCATTCATCGATAAACGTCGATTTTGTCTCTTCCATTCGTTGATAAATCGACGATCATTCGATGTCCAATCACTGAACGATTTGGCAAGTTTTTGAGGTGCAGAGAAACGTTCTGGACGAAGAGCAGTATAGTCGGACGAAAAGTCGACACATCGTTTGATTGGCATTCGAGAAGAAGAGTCTTGCTTATTGATTCGAACATTTTCATCCAAATCGACTAAGCAACGATCGAGTTGTACTTTCTTTTCGTGATTTATGAAGGCTTTTTCAATAATTTCTTTTTCAATGTCACCAAATTGCAACCAAGAAAAGTTGGACCCATTTTCAACTTTATAGATCCAGGTGACTTGTCCATTTGTCAAAACATTAGATTTAGCAACTGTCGAAGTTGATAGCGGTCGATTGTGAGCAACGAACTCGGTTGAACTTTGTGTCAAACATTTTTTCTCCATCGTAGAATGTTTACAAGTAATTTTTTCTTCGACAGTATCGAGCCACGTGAAAAACGACAAAAAAGAATTGCGACTTAAGCTCGCCATAATGCTTTTCTTTTCTTCAACTGTCAACGAATCAGAATATTTTCTTTCATATTTTACACTGTTGAAAAAGAAACATTTTCAACATCGATCAGAAAAGAACGTAAATGTTTATGAATATTGAGTAAAGTTTTGTGCTGTTAATATATTTCTCAAATATAAGGAAATCACTAGAATATTCTTGTTTATCAAATGAGAGTAGTCCTCCTCTATGTTCTTCCATTTTTGAACTTTATTTTTGTTTCTGTTACAGTGATGTCGCCTGTATACACACATTCTCTATATCAGTATTATCCTCTATCCTCTTTCATCTCTGTTTGATCTTGTATTCGTTGTTTTCGTTCTTCTCGTTCTTTTCATGATATATGTATTCTTTTATATCGTTATAAAAACAGTTGTTAATTTTACGTTACGAAATAAAGTAGTCCACGTACATCAAGGACGTACGTATACATATATCTCTATCGAACCACACATAGAGAGAAGAGAGAACGTTAACAGTTTCGATTAAGCAAAAAGTTATTTTTTGCAGAAATTTAGGCAAATGTTTTGGTTCGAACTATTCCAGATTTATTAAACAAGAACAGAACATAAAAGAAAAGTCTCTCTAGACGCGTCGATATTACTCATTCTGAAATTTCATTGATCTTTTTTATGCGTCTTGTCACATGCAGCAATGGGCAAAAGTCTCCCTCTTTACAAGTTTTATCAAATTAAGTGATCAAATGAAAACGTTTTTATTACATACAGACTTATAGTATACTCTGATCATTAACATACTATGAAGTCGCACTGATTTTCATCAACTTCAAAAATTTGTTGACCAACTCTGAAAGTAGGATCTACCATTCGTGTTTTATTGAAGAAGTTAATGATTAATAAGTTGTGAGCTTTTATCTTTGTAAATTCATAATGAGGAATTGCAAAACATTTTTGATGGGCGCAAGATCAGGTGACATCGGTCACCAATCAATTTTGGGAAAACATTAATCATTCTTCAGTTGACTGTTAGTTTTGACGTATGTTTAGATTTGTTGTCTTCGTGCCGTTTGCTCAATATCGAAAATGCAAGCAAATTGTTTTCCTAGTTATTGGCAAGAAATCAAATTTATAAATGTTACTCATAAATTTTACGTCTATGTTTTGTCTGAAACTGGAGACGGGATCGAAGCCTCAACTTGACAAACAATCCCAAATATTGACTTTGATTGGATGCTTGACGATTCCCACCACCTTTCTTTTTTCTCGTAAATTCCAAACTAGTCCATTACCGGAATTTAGACTAGTGGTAGTCTCGTTAGAGGAGATCATTGAATGACAATTCAGAGGCTTGTGATCTTGTATCTATATTAAACAATTCTCTTGATAGCTTTCCTGGAGTAATGGGTTCGGCATAGACCGATTGTTTTTGTGACAACCGTCTGTTGTTCAACGACTAAAGTAATTTGTTAATCCATCTTTTGAATTGCTGCATGTGATCGATCGCGTCAGGTTGAACCAATCAAATCTTTTGACTGTTTGTTGAAGAAAAATGTATGGTTATTTACTTTTTGAATGATTTTAAGATAGTGAAGAATCATACATCCTGATTGTTTTTTTCTAAATAAAAATCCGACATATTTGAATTTTCATTTGAAACTTTCCAAAGTATATACTAAACACTATAAACACCAAGTTAGTAAAAATAATAAAATCTTTGTTATTCAATAATTGAAATGTACAGAGAACGAAAAAATTTATACCTGCTTGTTGAATAATTTTCGAACTGTCTCTATGTGTCCGTTTTCGTAACATTTTATCTTAGGCGTTTTACTCAAAGTGATACCAGAAAAATTTACTCTATGTCAATCAATGAACAGAACTGTGTATGGCATTTTTTGATGAATTGTCCGTTTTTTTAAGTTGAATTCCATATTTTTCTCTTAATTCATGTAATAATGAACGATTGAAAGGACAATTAATATTTCGGCCATTATCAACAAAACCTCCTAATTGCCATTGACGATGTTCATGAACAAAATCTTCTACCCATAAATCTAAACAATTAAAATTTCTATCTGTTGTTCTTGTTGTAACTGAAGAACAAAATTCTTTATCTTTTTCACACATTTCAACAAATAATTGTCCATCAGGTGCTAGATTATCACGAGCATTTACTGGTAATGAAAAACNTGATAAATAATATATTAATATTACATACTGATTGAAGATTGGAATCAATGTTCACTTAAGGGTACCCCCCCCCCCACTCCTCTTTTTCGATCAAAAACTCGATTTCGAGTTGAGCATAAGATACCATAGCCTCAAGTGTTGTGTACAATTAGACACATTAAGGGGCTCTAAATACCTTACTATTACAGAGTTACTGAATTAAAAGAAATTTTTTTTTCATAGTAATCGTAAGGAAATTATTTTCTTTTTCTTAGCGTATCTCAAAATCACGATTTTCTCGATCTTGATACATTACGACCCTCCTTAAATTATGTCTGATCGGACTGAAATTTTTACCACTAATACTTGGAAGTGTTCTCCAGAGGTCAAATCGAGCGTTTTCATTTTTGACATTCCTATCCGAAGTTACAGGGGTCTGAAAGCCAGGACCCGAAGCACAAACTCAAATCTTGGCGTATTTTTCTTACAAAAAAAAAGGAAGTGAGATCTTTGGAAATCCTTAAATTTACCTCTGAGGAATAGTGTTAAGTATCTATAAACAAAATTTCAGCTCAATCGGACAAAATTTAAGGGGGGTCGTAATGTATCAGGATGCGGACCTCTGGAAAATCAGAGTTTTTCTGAAAACCCCAAAAAAACTTAGTTTAAATTTTTTTTCCTCGAACACATATCTCGTTATTTTTGATGCTCTATCTGTGCTGAAAATTTGAGCTTGATCGGTCGTACCGTCTTCGAGACTCAGAAAGTGCCAAAAAAGGGGGGGGGGGTACCCTTAAGCAATTCAGTTTTTTACATTGAGATTTGGGTAGTATAGACTAAAATTTATTTATAATCAAATGTATCACCAGTATAGTTATTAACTTTAAGGTACTTTAGTTGAATACGGTTGTCTGCAAACAAATAATTCAAAAACTAACAGTTATTGAATAGACTTCGGTGTTTTTTATATTTGTTTCAAAAAATGCCTATATGTCTTTTTCCAAAAAGAAATACGTTCTTAAGCTCACAATAGCAACTTCAGATAAAGAAAGAAAGTAAAACAGCGAAGAGATCTTTTAATTAACATACAACAAGATTTACTCGATATATGTTCCTATTTTATAAAGATCAAATCATGTGCCATTCATATGGATGTGCACTCTTCAATTAAGTTCTATGAAGATGAGAAAGTTTTTTAATACTATTCTGTAAAAGAGTATTGAAGCAACTCCATTTTATATTTTCAATAAAGAAATGCATTTTCAAGAGACTTCTATTTCCTAATAGCTATTTCCAGGGACTTTTCTAACTCGAACTAGACATATTGCTATAATAACGATAGCAGAATATTGTTCGCATTAAATTTAGATATGATTATGAACATAAACAATAAAAACAAAAGCAATAAAGTATAGAAATTATTTGAAAAAAGATTGTCAGAGAGAAATCTTTTAATATATCGAACGTTTTATTTAGAGTATTCGATTCTCTTGACAATCATAACATTTTTTTCTCGATGTAGAAAGTACAATGCAATGTAAAATAGTGCTATCTACCAAATGACAATGTTTTTGAAGCAATTACACTGATGAAATATTCAAGAGATGTTTATAAAAGATTCGCCTGTTTTCATGAAATTAATCGAAAAAAACGAATCAATATTTATTTTGAAGCAGAATATAGAATATAAACTTACTGCTGATTATTGGTAAGATGGTTTGTGTCAACCGTGTTTTATAAGTTCTTTTTAGAGCACAAATGTTCGTTTTTCCTCGCACAAAAAAATGAAAACTTTTTTAATGTTTTTCTGTTTGTCAAGGTGAAAGAGAGAAGAAGAAAAAACGTGAGTTTGTTTTGTATTACTTTACAATGATTCATTGCTTGTATTTTGTATTTACACGTTGACAAATCTTTCTTTTCGTTGTAACTTGCAATAGTATTAGATCATCATAGAATCAAAATAGCAAATAATTCTTTTGTTACAAAAACTATTATCTATTACAGCAGGTAAATCAATAATGATGAATAAAAGCAATTTTATTTCGAGAGTTTGACATTCTTTCGGAAGACGCCAAAGGAAAAGTGACAAAAATTGAAGTGGGTGTGGATGTGTGCATGGGTGTGGAATACCGGTGTGCGTGTGAGGTGTGGGAGTTGACTGTGAGTGTGAGTGTGAATATGGGTGGGAAGAAGATATACGCCAACACTCACAGCTATCTACCTTCACAGCCATCCCTTCGATGCCGAAGGTATCTTCTTCGGACGATTATAGAAAAACCAACTACTGTTTTTTCAAGCAAGTATATACACAGACACTTTTCGTTCTGCTCTCGATTTTTCTATTTTTTTCTTGTTCGTTCTTGATAGTGGATTGGCAAGGCAATGGTGGGCTGGAATGGCTAGCAGTTTCGTTCTTCTGCCGACCCACTATCAAGAACGAGCAAGAGAAGCATAGAAAACTCGAGACAAGAACGAAAAGGGTCTATATATATACTTGTTTGAAAAAACAGTAGTTTGTTGTGCTATAATCGTCCGAAGAAGATTTTCTCGGCATCGAAACGTCACATAAACAAGAAATAAAAAGAAAGGAAGAGCAAAACAAAATTTTCAATCAAAATGATCTTCCATTTGAACCGAAAACAAATGCTTACAGCTTTGATAGTAGACCGTAATCAATCTATTTCCTCATACTTTTCTACAATAGATATTATCAATTACAGTTTTTTGTGTTGACGGTCGACAATGAAAACATACAAAAATCTGACTATTGTTCTCCTCTTTTTCTAACTACAAAAGTGAGTGCAAGACCAAGTTCTTCTAGTCCGTCCATCGTTTTCAGAGTAGTACTTTCCACGTGCCATTTGCCACCTGTAACTTCATCCCACATACGCGTAAAGCTTTCTAGAGAATACCACATCATAGTTCCCTTAAATGATAAAGGTTTTGGAAGTTCTGTTGGTATCAACGCACCACTCTTCCATCCGATGATAGCACGTTTGCATAGGCGAGTGAGACGTCTACACACGTCTCTTTGTGTCTCGGCATCAAAGATGTGGAAGAATGCGCCAACATTAACATATTCCGCTGGTTCTATCGCATCCAGAAATTGATCATCAAATATATCACCCGAATTAAATACTTTATTTTGTTGCATTATTTCTCCATCACGAAATAGTTCATAACCTTGCTCGATGAAGAAAGGATCAAGATCGTAGCCACGTATTCGATCAATAAGTACTCCATCGTAGACGAGTTACCGTACATCTTGACCAAGACAACATGCGAAGTCAATCACGGTTACGCCTTCATTTTTACATTTTTCAATAATTTCTTTGTAAATAGGATTTTTTTTGAATGGAAAAATGAAGAAAAGCGCAACCACCGAGACACGGATAATTGCAGTTTTGCCAAGCACGGTCACGCACGATCAATAAGTGATCACGCAATTTTTCGACCGGAATCGAAGTGTAATTGGCAAAGAAAGTTTCGATATAGTCATTAATTGGCGGTTCATTCACGTAATATAATGCTGTTTTGTTGACAGATTCTTGTTCAGACATCTTCAAAAAGATGTATTAAACTAGTACTACAGTTTATTTTCTCAAAGAAAAAGAACACATATAATTAACTAACTCACCTTTACCGGAGAATCTATCCTTTTTAAAAAGAATCGTTTGTGAAGGTCGAAGTATCGATCAAAAAAAAACATTCACATGGTGGAAAAAGTGACAGGAAGAAAGCAATATATGTCGGTATACTCTCATGTGCGCAGAATAGGAGAAAAAGTGATATAAGGTGTCTACAAGCACACACTGTGAATAGACCTCAAGAAGAAAAGACAAATAGTCGCTCACATTTTATCTGCATACTATAGTTACAGTTACTCATTCAAAAAGAAAAAGAATGTGAATATTTTTTGAGCAATATTTCATAGGAAAAATACAATGAGTTACGGCTTTCATCGTTCGGAAAAGTCTATGATTCTACATAATAGCATGCGATATTCATTGTTGTGCTAATCCATCGTATCTCCACCAAAATAAGACACAAGGTCTCTGAAATCGGTCCATTTGTCGTGTATCTTTTAGACCTCAACGAGTTATAACTACAGCAAAAAAAAGCTTGTTAGCGCAGCCCCTTTGGGGCTGAAATGTGGAACTCACATATCTTCTTTAATTTATTATACTAATGACAAAATACAGTGTTTTAATTCTTTAAAAGACGAGGGTTCGTTTCTAATGATAGTCGATTGTC